CTGAAAAAAGAAATGCGAGAATCAGATCCAAAAACCAAGTGATCGACATCCAGACGATCTCCATTGAACCCTGATGATTTTGCGAAATAGAAATGTAATTGAAGAGAAATTCGATCGCGAACCTTTTCCTTGGCCTTTGTCTGTACTTCTTTCACAATGAGAGCAGAAGACGATCAGTCCCTTCCGGATTCAAGAAGTCCCCAACAACCTCCCCAAATTCCGGTGCCGGAATTCAGAAAGGGGAGGGTGGGGGACGGGGGCGGAGCACTCAGCAACTCTTGAAATCATGCCTGACTCCAATCAAAACAAATGTCTATCCGCCGATGTTTTTACGGATCAGGCGCCCACGAGAGGAGGATTTAATCTCATGAAATGAGTCGGATTTTGTACACAACCGGCAGGCGCGTGTTTATATTAAAAATATTAGATATAAACAAAATCACCCATCCTTCAATTGTTCTATTTTTCTGCGTTTAAAATTCGTCTTCACTCCAGTCCCCCTCTGAGACTCCCTGATTCCTCCCCGTTCTTATTTTTCTCCATTTTTCTTTTTATCCATCTCAGCAAAAAAGGCCACGTTAAACGCGAGGGAAACGGAATGATATCAGCCTTAACAGAGGGCTGATTTGCCATGAGTTGAGGGGTTGGTTTGCGTATAAAGTAGGTTGAGGGGACGATTTGCCATTGATCGATGAGTTAAGGGGGGTGATCCGCATATTTTGCCTTTGAGAAGCTCGACTTTGCATGATCATCGCTTTCATTAATTGGTAACCATCTACACAATTTAAACGGGTTAATTCAATTTTTAGTCTATTAACTATCACCTTGATTTTATTTTAGTCTAGAAACTATATTTTATTTCTAAGTGATCTATTAACTTTCGCATTTATTTCAATTTCGTCTACCTGGTTATCTTTGACGGAAAACTTACTATTCTGTTAGAGAACAGTTAGTCCTCTAACTATATTTGTTTTGATTTTTTAGTTCTCAAATTTATATTTGCTGTAAAAACATTTTTTATATTTAAAATTATTATTTCTATGCTCTGATACCAGATTTTTATTCGGGTTTTTAGAACTTAATTCAGACTACTCTAACTAATGAATAACTAATAATATTTTAAAAATAAAAACAATTAATGAAAATACCCTAAGAAAAATTAAAGAAATGAGAAAAACCTAAATAAAAATTCGGTATCAGAGCCTAAAAATAATAATTTTAAGTATAAAAGTTGTTTTTAC